AGAGAGGGCTAGGGATTTGGCTCAATGGTGCAACACCTGCCTGGCAAAGAGGGCTGAGAAATTAGTTCCACAAGAATGCCCTTAATTCAATATCCAGTAATACCACCAGAAAAAAATTACATGCACACAAAACACACATATATATACATACATACATACATAGCCACAAATACTGAAAGTTCTGGCTAAACTTTTTGCTGTAAGTTTAAAAAAAAAATAAAAGATTAACAAAGTAATTCAGCAAAACACTGAAATAAAAATGCTCAGACAGCCAGGCTTATGGCATATGTCTGTAATCCCACTTGGAAGGCCAATACAGAAAGATCACCTTGAGTTGGAACCCAGTTCAACGTCAGACTACATAACAAAGCAAGACCTTGACTCAAAAGCAAAACGCGAACAAACAAAAAACATGCTCAGATGGTTACATGACAGAAAATAAGACAATTTAATGCTGCAGCATTTAAAAAAGACCTAGAAAAAATACAATTATAAAAATGCAACTCAAACTGGAAACAACACTACACAGATTTCTGAAAAAGAAACTAGAGGACTGAAAAACAAGTAAAATAAAAATGAAGAGTAAAAGGATTAAGGGGGAAATGAAACATCATAATAAAATAGACCATGTATAAAAATATAATTTCAGAAGTATTTACTAAAATAAAAAATATGGATCTACATATTGAAAGGGTACATCCTGTCTCAAAAACAACTGCCAACAATACAAACAGGCAAAATATCACAAGAAAATAAAAAATTGGTATGGCCTCAGCTTTCCACTCTAGAACAGAATGGATCATCATCATTTTAAAAATTCTTAAAGAAATATAGATGTAGCTCAGTGATAGAATGCTTGCCCACCAACTGTAAAGGCGTGCGTTTGATCTCTAATGCCACAATTGCACGCACACACCCACAAAGTTCTTTTTTCTTTTGGTCCTTTTGAGACAAGGTCTCACTATGTAATGCAGGCTGGCTTTGAACTTGTTTACACAGCCCAGGCTGTCCTTTAACTCACAATGATCTTCCTGCCTCGTATTTTAAAGCACTGAGATTACAAGCACATGAGATTTCATGCCTAGCATGAAAAATTCTTAAGGAAAGACAGTATGAATCTAGGATTCTATACCCAGTCAAACTGTTGTTCAAATATAAAATAATTTTGAGCGAGTAAAAACTTAAGAGCCATAGGTCCTTTTAAAAGATTCCATTAAAAGAAGAATTTAGTAAACTAAGAAAGATCAACAATAAACTGGAAAAATCAACAAAATAATCAGTGTTAAAATTTCTAAGCTATTAACCACAAGACTCAGAATAAAATAGAAGACTTAAGAGGCCAAAACAGGAAGCAAAAATTCCACGGACAATCCCAATACAAACTAACTGATAAAGGTTGAGAAGACAGGGAAGAATAAGAGCATTACATAAAAACGTAATCCCAGCATTTGGTAGGCTGAGGCAAAAAGATCACTGTGACTTCCAGGCCAGCCTGAACTACATGGCAAGACTGTCTCCCCCACTACCACCAAAAAAAAAAAAAGCAAGGATACTGATTTCTTATCCTTATGTGCCAGAGATTTAAATTTAGCAACTAAATATGACAATAAAATGATACACTATATGTATATAATTAATTGCATGAAAGTAAAAGAAGAAGGCTAATAAATATGCTAGCTTCATAACTGCTTATACTAAGTAATTGAAAGATAACCTTAAAACAGAAGGTATGAGGGCTGAGGATTTAGCTCAGTGGCATAAGCACCTGCTTTGCAAGTGCATGGTCATGAGTTCGATCCCTGGTACCGATAAAAACAAAAAAAACCCAGAAGGTATGATATTTAAAAGTAACATCAAAATACACAAAACTGTACAAGCACAAGTGAAAGCAAACATATGAACATAAAAATAATATACTTTTAATGTACTCATAGTTTTGATCTCAAAGAACTCAAAACTCATACTTTAAAGGAAAATAATCTTTCTATTGAACATATTTAAAAATGACTCCAAAAATAATATTAGTATGTACTAAAAATATATGAACGTTAAACCTCAAAATCCTTCATGCCTCAAAAGATAGTCTCAAAAAAAATAGTCTCATGAGTGAATGATCAATCCAAGAAGACACCAATGAAAAGTGAAACACATAGTGGTTTGTTCAGTTTTGGAATCTATCAGCAAAGTCAGAGTTAAAGGATATGCCATGTGAGCTAAACTATGACACACTGCACAGTCAAATATTGAAATAGGCAGGCTCACATAATCTGTTTGTAAAACATTTTGTTCCTATTAAACATTACTGCTATGTTTTAACACTGAAGGTTACACAGAGTAAGCAGAGGCTCAGAAGAACAAAGAAAAAAGAATCTCTCAAAAGTAAAAACCCCTGCTGTGTAGTTCCCACAGAAATTGTAATATGAAGTCAAACTTCTGACTTGAATTCGCTTCTACTTTAGTTTTATAATATATATATTAAAAAAAGAAGAAACTAAATAAAATCCCTAATTAGCTTGATTTTCACTTAAAAACCATTATGTTCTATAAACAAGGATTTTAAGGATCTTTTTTACATTTTGCAAGCAGTTTTATAAATCTATCCTAAAAATATTTTCTATGTATGTATGGATGGAGTAAAGGTCAAAGAATAAAAGTGGGGAGAGATAGAAAAACTAGACTAGAAGTGCCTTCTAGTTAAAACATAAACTCTAGCCATGCATGGTAGCACCCACCTGTAATCCCAGCACTCGAGAGGTGGAGGCAAAAGGATCACTGTGAGTTTGAGGCCTGCCTGAGCTCCACAGTGAAACACTGTCTCAAACACACACACACACACACACACACACACACTCTAATATAGTGCATTAGAATAAAAGGATTCTAGGATAATTTTTACTTAGAAAAAATGCTTCCTGAATCTTCCCTTTCTTGTGAATTTTTCTCACTTTAACTCCTCTTTCCATCAAACTGAAGAGTTCCCTTCCAAAGTTCACCTTTACTAAAATGTTGGTAAGTTCTATGTAGGGAAGTTATTCCCATTATAAATGGTAGAGTAATACAAACTCTTTACATTTCGAATTCAGGTTAATTGTAATCATCTTCAATAATAAGATGCTGTATAATAGGATACTATTCAGCAATAAGTAGGAATGGATTACTGATACACGCAACAGATGAATCTCAAAAACATTAGGCAAGGTAAGAAATGCCAGTCTCAAAAGTTACATACTGTATTATGCCATACAAATATATGACAATCTACAAAAACTACAGAACTGAGAACAGATCAGTAGCTGTGAGAGGTGGAGTTCATTAAAGGTTCATTAAAAATAGCTCTCTTGCTGGATGTGGTAGTACAAACCTATAATCCCATCGTTGGCTGAGACAGGATGATCACTTCAAGCTCAGCCTGGGCTACCCCGTGAGTTTAAGACTAGCCTGAACTATAAAATGTAACACTGTCCAAAAAAAACCAGCAAGCTGGGCACTACTGTTATGGCAAACAGTCCAAACATAGGAAGAAATGGCACTGAGAAGGTTTAGGAGATAGTATATTACATGGGTGGGCTTAACTGAGATCTGTCTCAAGGAGTCAGAGCCCTGCCCAGTGGGGTTTTGGAGCTTATGGGGAGACCAAAGGGGAAGTACAGTGGCAGATTTAGTGCATTATGACTGGAAGGTTGGGTGACATCATGGGTTGCCGAAGGAGTTTTTACAGCTCATGTTACACTGCAAGGCCATCAGTTAAACAAGCATAGGTTATACACAGGATGGAATGTTCTGTTATCAGGCTCGTCCAGACATGGACATGTCCACTTGGTCTTAGCAGGCATCCTTAGCAGGCTTTTATTTAAAGTTTTAATTTCCCTTTCACTGTAATACTTGCGCGTAATCCCAACTACTAGAAAGGCTGAAGATCCACATGTTTGAGGCCAGGATGGGCAGCTTAGACCTTATCTCACAATAAAAGATATAAACGGCTGGGATGTAGTTCAGTCACAGAGCATTTGGCTAGCATGGGTAGCATTCCAATATCAAGTTCAACACCAAGTACCAAAAAAAAAATCAGTAAAATGGAATTTTGGGAGGATGGGAAGGTTTGTACCTTGACAGCTGTCATTGCAGAATATTATACATACATCAGATGTCACAAGCCTCTAAACTAAAAAGAAGTGAATTTTACTGCACATAAAATTTTTAAATAAATGTATTTAAATTCACAGAAAATAAGTAAAATATTTCCATAAACATCTCATTCTCAGCCTAGTAATAAAAACTGTATAGGCACTATTATTTTTCAGGTGAAAAAAAAATGAAATATAAAGTAAATAAGTGATTCAATTCACTACACATTCAATTACATGTGTAGGACCAAAACCATAGTCTAGATATCCAGATTCTATTTCAAATGGTTTAATCTCTTAATTTGCCATGTTCCATTAAACTTTATGGGACAAAATGTCCCTGAAGGCATAAAATTAAAGGGAAGAAAGGAAAAAATAAAGAAGACAGTTATTAGATGTGGCCACTTAAAATTTGGCCATCAACCTTGAAGAATTTAAAAAATCCATAACTGAGAAAGACTGATAGAGATTTATACAGCGAATAAACTAGCTGGCATTAAAGGATTAGCAATGATTTATTCCATAAAAGCTTCTTAATTTAATACTAAGAAAAAAAGTAAATATAAAATATTCACAGATGACCTCGTAAATACTGCTACAACTTCTACACTATCTAGTCTTTAGGCTGTTATACTATTTAGTCTTTAGAACTAAGCTAACAATAAAGTAAATACAATTCCAAACTTTGCACCTTTAACATCTAGGTTCCAGATGTTACTATGCCAGGATAGAAAACAAGAAGTAAGTCTTTAAAAATACTGTTTCAGTTTCAGAATCACAGAAGTAGTAGTATATTTGCAAAAGAACATACTGTAAGTATAATAGTTTCTCTAACAAAATAACAACCACATCTGGACTACAAATAGCACACATCACCTAAAAACAATGGTGTGGTGTCTTCTAACGTAGTTGCGTTAGGATCTGCTCCAGCTTCTAAAAGAATCTGTGCAATCTTCCGGTGTCCTTGACTTGCAGCAAAATGTAATGCACAGAAGCCTTCAAAAGTCTTTGTCTTAATGTAGTTTTCAGATGAATCTGTGGAAGAATAAAAATCCATCAATTATATAATCATCACTTCGGTTTCTCTGGTTTGAAAGGCAAAGAGTACAGGAGGAATTTAGTGAGATTTTAAATAAGTAACTTACAAAGAACAGGTCTCATAGTTTAAAACCTTTTAAAAATCATGGAAAAAATCTAACCAGGATCCCAGAATGAACAGCTGTTTAGTTCCCTTACCACACAAACTCTGCCAATTCACTCCAATTTTCTACTAATGGGGGAGGGGGGTGATTCAAGGGCACCCCAGCAGCAGGCCTGAAGAAGATACAATACTGAGGATTTGCTTGAGCAGGAGTTACTGCTGTATTAATAAGCTTGACTGTGTTTCTAAATTTACTTCTAAATACTGATGAGGGAAATGGTCTTCTCTGTACCATTACTTCCTTATACCCAACTAATAACACAATAGTAATTTCTAAAACTCCCTTTCTAAAGTAAGACTATAATTAAATGGTAAATGAAGACTGCACTTAATAAATGCACTCCAAGGAAATCAGACAGTTACATACAATTTGCAAGAAACTTGTGTTACCTTGGAAGTGTGTTTACAATGAACAACTGAAGTCTCTGATAATATTCAAACTATGTAAATAACACCTATATCAAAATTTATAAACTCCACAACAAGTAATACTGAGAGCTGAATTTCTTAGCTCTGCTTTCAAAAAAAACAGTAAAATTCTAAGCTCATAACGGAAGGATGGACTTCAAGGTGAATGATGAAAGCATTTCTGAGAGTAGTAATAAATGAAACAAGCAAACAAACAAAAAAAAAACCTTCTAAAAATATTTTCTTGAAATAACAGAAATAAAAATAACGCTGACTAAAATAAGGTAGTCATCTATTTTAAGTCATTCTTGCAATTATAACTCACTGAAGAAACAGTCTTAAGACTTAATATTTAAGAAGCAGCTTATAAGGATTTTAAAGAAAAAGAGTCTCAGACTTTACAGGATACACAACTAAATCACCCGTTAGGATAGAAAAAGTGGTTCAGACACTAGTCAAAAATTGGTCCTTATTCAAAGTGGTTTACTTAGATGAGTTAGACCTGAGTCACTATTTTATTTACTAACCTTGTTGTTTTGTGGCTACAAATTACCCAAAAAACTAGGACCACATATATATTCAGATAATTGTTATAAGCAAAGTTAATAAATGGAAAATTTTATAAAGATACCAATTCTTCCCAAAATAATAAGTTTAGTGCAATTCTAATATAATGCCAGTAGAGCTTTTGTTGGCTTTATACTTGTTAAAATGACTCATGTTGCTGAGAGTGGGGTTTTACAGTTAAAACAAAGTTCAGAAAAACACACAAGCTAAGCAAGGAAGGGAAACTTACATAGTAAGCCACATCTTAAAGTTAGGAAAGGTTAATAATGGGGTACTGGTGGACAGACCGGAGGGTGCCTTTTTGGGAACAGTGGAGCCAAAAGAAAAAGAGACCAAGGCAGCATCAGATGGGAAGGAGGAGACCTGTACCAGCACTGCACTACAAAACAGCCAGAGTTTTCTTTCGGAAAGAAGGAAAGAGATTTAATTTGGGACATTTAAATACAATGAATTATATATACAAAGTACAACGCATGATATATACACTCAAGAGATGCAAATTAAAACAACACCGAGACTCCACCTCACTCCAGGAATAATGCCGTCACCAAGAAATCAACCAGTTTAACACATGCTGGTAGGACTGTGAGGAAAAGGAACACGTCTCCACTGCTGGTGGGAGTGCAGACGGGCACAACCACTGTGGGAATCAATTTGCAGATGCCTCAAAAAACTAGAAGTAGAGGTCCCATTCGACTCAGCTATTCCCCTTCTGAGTATTTTCCCAGAAGAATTAATAACATCGTACCACAGCAATATACGTGCACCCATTTTTACCGCAGCAGTTTTGTAATAGCTAAATCTTGGAAATAACCCAAATGCCCATCACCCAAGAAATGAGAAAAAAAGATGTAATCTCTTTATACAATGGGATGCTACTCAGTTATAAAGAAGGATAAACTTGAGACACTTTTATAGGGAAATGGAGGCAATTAGATACTGTACTCATAAGTGAAACAGAACAGACTCACTCATGCAAACGTACTGTGAGAAACTGAAAAAGTAAATACCATCCAAAATGTACAATAGATACTGTGAAATGGGAAGAAACTGTTCAAAAGAAAAAGGAACTAGGATGGAGGAAACGGGAAAAGAAGGGTTAGAAAAGGAAAAAAAGAAAAAGCAAAATACGAGACAGGTACACTAATAGTTTCTCTTAGTTCACTGAAAATAAAGGTTTGTGCTAACATCTTTCACAGAATTTTTGTGCCCAGCAATATTGAATGTATTAACTATTGTTAGTCTATTACTGTTATGAAATAGTTTTAATTTTTTCCATAAGAAAATAAATACTAGCCTTAGTATTAGTATACAGGGAATCTAAATGTAGCCCCTCATACCCCACACATACACCTCTACCCATTGCTAAGGATTGGACCCAAGGTGACCTAATACTGAGATATATAAGGTCTCTGAATCATCCAAATTGGCCTTGAACTTGCAATCCTCCTGGCTTGGCCTTCTAAGTGACTAAAATTACAGATGCATGCCACTGTGCCTAGTAGCATTTTTTTAATCAACCAAACAATAGACAAAAGACAGATCCTAAGATAGAAGCAGATGCTGATAAAAGATTTTAAATGTATGTGTAAGGGAAATTAAAAGATGCTGGCTTATATAATATTGAAAAACGTGGGCTAGGGATTTAGCTCAGCAGCATAAACGCGTGCCTGGCAAGCGCAAGGTCTGAGTTCAATCCTCAGTACTAAAAATATATTAAGACTGAAAAACAAGAGCTCCACATTAAAATTATACTCTAGTTAGTAAAAGGGTTTCTTACATAGTTAGAGGTTAACAACCTTGAAACTACTACATATGCATATAGTAAAATTGAACTAAACAGACTGCAGATCACAAATGGATGCTACATAAAAACAATAGGGGAAGGATAAAATGAATTTAGAATGTGGTAGTAAGTCCAGTTACCAGTATAAAGCTGTATAATTTAACAGTTACATAGCTATAGATGGCTACACACAAGAGATAACATACCCATAAATACTTCCAGCTCCATCTGATAAAAAGGTTTAAAAACAAAAATATTCCAGTAGGAATGAATGCACACATCCAGCCCCTGCATCTTGATTTTGAATATTATTTTCCAACAAAAGAAAGTAGATCTCTTATAAGAGTGGCTGATTCTAGATTTGGAACAGGAAACACACAAAATGAACATGGAACATACTGTATGTTCAAAAAGTTTAAAAGGTGGGCCAGGAATTTAGTTCAGTGGCATAAGTGCCTGCCTAGCAAGCGCAAGGTCATGAGTTTGATGTCTGGTACAAAAAAAAAAAGTTTAAAAGGTGCTCAAAAAAATGTAATGCTAAAAGGATCATGCAATTCAGTCTGAAAGGGTGTTCATATAACAATGAGAAATATAAGTCATACTACATTGGATTATAATACAAAAATATAAAATAAATGTCCATGCATCCATGCAGAAACAAATGGCTGAATGAATAAGTGGAAGACATAAATTCCCTAAACTTAAAAATCCCAAGTAATTTATGGAAAAATTTCCCAAGTACATACAGCTTACTTCCTATCACTTAAATGTAGGCCACCCTTACTTAGCTACTTTCCTACACATCCTTCTTATGAAACAAAACAAAACCTCTGACATAATTACCTATGAATCAAAAAAAAAAATTAAAGTCATTTCTTACTCAGAATGAGAAATACTGAAATCCATTTGCTACTAACTTGAGAATGGAAAGATCTTTGCCTATAGAAGAAAAGACGTATTTGGCTAACCTTAAAACCACTGGACCAGAAAATCAAGAATTACAAGACTAAGTACTCCTGGCTCTGCCAGTTACAATTTAAGTTAGCTTTGGATCAATTACATCAACTCTCTGAGGCCCGAGTTTCTAATGTAAAACAAGTATATAAAATAGCTGGCTGACCCCTAGGGGGTGGGAGGTGGGGTTCAACAGAATTATGTGGTTTAAATTTTTGTAAAACACTAGTAAATATAGATATATATGTAATCATTACAGTATTTATGTACCATATTAAGACTTGTTTAAATTTGGTAAAACCTTCAAAATACCATTTTAAGATTTTCAGCACTCATTGTAAACTGGCTTTGGAAGCTCCAATGATAAAAGCTTCCTTTAAATAGATGTATGAGCTTTACTAAAGAAGGGACCTTATCCAACTCACACTGCACTATCAACTACCACTCTTACTTTCTTCTTTTCCTGACAAGATAGCTCCGTGAAAAAATGATCACTGTACCTTTTTTAATTTCTTAAACTCTGTTTATGCTCAATGAAAAGTGGCTTCTGTTTCCAGTTTATTTACAGAAACTTTTGAGTGGTAAGGGCATTAAAGATTTCCCAATGGAGAAACACAACAAGCACTTCAAATTTTTTATAGCAACTTGCGAATTTTCTTCCTGTTTACATGTTAAGGGCTTGGGGCCATCTCAGCTGGAACCACGCCAACCATCTGGGCAGAAGTGATAAGAGTAGGCCTTAACACTCTTGCAACATACCACACTTAGGTCTGCTGACACAGGAATCTTTTTACTTGGAAAGAACAAACTGCCTTATTACTTCTAATAGTGGTAGTAGGTAGCAGTACATTACTTTGTTTTTTGCTAACTCCTATGAGAGAAAGTAAAACCACAGTTTTCTGTAGAGGAGATAGATTACAGTTTAAGATCAAACAGACACACTGACATGGGCAGGTAATTTCAACACACTGAGAGGCTAACACAGAAGGACAGCAAGGTTGAGCCTATTCTGAACAACTTAGTGACACCTAGTCTCAAAAAATAAAAAGGGCTTGGGAAGTAACTTGGAGCACGGGCCCTGGCTTCAGTCCCCATTCCTACCAAAACAAAAGGGACCAG